CATAACAATTAGCTATTGTCCTAAAAATCTTTGCTCATAACAGTTTTTTATTCAATAATTTCATCTATACTACTATACGTCATACTTACACAAATAACTCATGCAATTTTCTAAAAATGATTTATTTGAATAGCGCAGAGTAAAAATTATCGAAATCTGTTTTAACAAGCTTCTTTACTTAGAGTAAATTTAAGAACCTTAGAGAATGGGAGCCTTTTACTGAAAATTTTGGCCATTCATCTAAGATTACTTGTACTGAAGAATAGTAAATTAAAAGTTAATGATAGTAATAAAAATAAACAGCTGAAAAAATTAGTGGTTAAAAAATAATAAAGTCAACTGTTGTTAAGCAAATAATGATGATGAGATTGTGAGAGATATCTTCATTACAAGTTTTAAAATTTTGAAGTATCTAAAAGTTACATACTATACTACTATTTACTTCAGTCAAAGTTTATTTTTAACTGCCAGTTATAAAAAAAAATTAAAACTCAGAAGTAAAGTGAATGATACCATTTTGTAAATGGACATGAGTAGAAAATATATATTTTAAAAATATCTAAGTTCGACAATACTATTTTTGAAAATAAATTTTAAATGGATCCATTATATCTTTACATATTAGCCAATATTATTCTAGTTAGTAAACATTTATTTTTAAATATCATTTTTTATATAAAGGTCTAATTCAAAGACAGAGTAAAATTACATTTCAAACATGGTGACCAGCAGAAAATATTTATCATGAGAGTCAAAACATTAAGACATTCCATGGTGCTAATTCTTTAAATATTTTTTTTAAGAATATAGTTACATACTAGGTCATTTTTTACTAAATTCAAGGCTTATTTTTGACAGCCAGTTTTAAGGAAATTTAAAACTCAGAACAAAGTGAAGGACACTATTTTAAAAATCAGTGTGAGTAGAAAATATACATTTCAAACAATTTTAGGTTTCCTAATGTAATTTTTTTTAAATAAATTAGTAAAAGATCCATTGTATCTCAACACATTAGCTAACTTTTTTTACCAAAAATAACATTCATTTTTGAGTGTCAATATTTGGAGAAATTTAGAAAGCAAAATTAAAGATGTGATTTTAACAATGCACATAAGTAGAAAATATATTTGTTGTAAAAAGTTATAAGATTTATTGCGCATTTAAAAAATAATTAAAAAATTAAGCGTCCATCATATTGCATAATAGTTCACTTTTTTACCAAAGTCTATGCTTATTTTTAACTGGCATTTTTAGAAAAATTTGCAACACAGAAGCCAAGTATCAAGTACCATTTTAAAGCTACCATTACCATTTAAGTACCATTTTAATGAATAAAAAATATCTATATCAAATAATTAAAAGTCCTGCAGCATAATTTTTAAAAATATTTTTTTTAAATAAATTTTTTTATATATCCACACATATAGAAAATTTTCATCTTAAAAAATTAAAATTTCAGCACTGCAAGTTGTTTTTAATAAATTCTTTAAGTGTTCATACATAGTATCATCAGATGAGGTTCCTGCTTACCTAATGTAACTTTACTACATATTTTTGACTGACTAAATTAAAAACAAACTTCAATTCTAAAAATAAGAAAGCAGACTAAAATTATATAATTTTAAATTTAAATCATTTGCAATTTTAATGAAATAAAGAGAGGATAAGTTGAACCTAGAAGTGTGTAAGACCAGGCTCAATTATTTTAATGCTATTAAAAATTTATCTTTCTTTTTTTTTCCATTTAATGTTACATTACTAGAACAACAAATCTAATCAAAGAATCATATGGACAGTTTAAGTTTGCCATTTTTATTTCAATAAGATGTATTTTAGTACTGCTAAATAATTTGTAGAATTCTACAACTTTACCTTTTAAAATTTGTTTTAGTTTTAATAAGAACAAAGCCATAAATTGCAATTATTTTTCAAGGTCAGATTTTTAGTTTAACAATTGCCAGCACCTATAAAAGTTTAAATGACAAGAAAAGAAAACATTGTGATCTTTTGTGAAACACCAAACATAAGGTACCTTAGTCCACTAAAAAACACTATTGGTGATCATAAAAATAATTCAGAAAAACTTATTTTCTAAGCATTATTTTAGCTATATTATACAGTTATAAACTTTTAATAATTAGCTCAATTTGTTTATATTTTTTTGGAAAAAGAAGAATCTTTTAACTATTCTTTTTAAAAAAATCAAGGTACAAAAATCTAAAATGAAGAATAACAAAATTTCAAGAAATGAAAGTTAACAAACATCTCATAAAAGTATTTAAAGAAAATTTAAATCATCCTGTCCACAAATTTATTAATTTTATTTATAAAAATTACACTTAACTAGTTCTACTCAAGTTAAATAAAAAAATTTGTCGGAAATATTGCTTTTTATCCCTAGTTAGACTGGGACAAAATTAAGAATACAGTTCTCAAGATAGATAGGCAATATTCCATGAAATGAAAGACATTTCATAGAATATCTAGCACCAACTCCAAAATTCATTTTTAAAAAAAATTTGTGTCATTAAATTTAAAAAAACAAAACAATATATTTCACGAAACATTACACTCTATTTAAGAAATTATGACATATTCAAAGATAATATAAGAACAAAATTCTTACAGACATAAGATTTTGAGATAGTATCGAAAGTTTTAATATTTATAGTGAATTAATGCAACAGTGATAAAAACATTTTTTTTAAATTCAATAAGTATTTAAAAAGCATGTATTATAATGCATGAATATTATGTATTTATAATGCATGAATATAATTCTCATTTTTTTCAGAACCCTTTTCAGGAAATATCAGGCTTTTCATTGCACGGCTAATGTTTGATATGTTCTCTGATTACTTTAATTTGATATAAATTACTTTAAACCATTACATCATTTTCATTATACAAAACTTATTAGTATAAGTATCAAAAAATTTGTTTTCAATAAAATTTAATATATAATTGTGGGCAGTAACAATGATTATCTTTCATTTACTTACAATTAAAGACTTATTACAATAAACTATTATTTTTTAAAAATGGATCACTGCTTTTAAAAACAAAAGAAATTAATGTCTCACAAAATCAGATCACATTTATACTTCAATATTATTTCTAAACATATTTTTGCTACATGATCCATCCAGCCCCATGTGAGGTACTCCAGCCTCAAGGTTTTTCTTTGTTCAAGGTTATTTTTAAAAAAATCAATGTAAAAAATTTTTTCAATTTATACTTTTTTTTAAAAAAAAAGTACAAAATTGTGATTAGTATACAATTTGTATTGCAGAGAAAAATCAAACTATATGGATAACTTTTTAATGAGATAAATAAAAACTGAAAAGTGTACCAAGTAATCCCAATTTTCCCTTATCAGTCAATAATTCATAAAAAAAAATATTTAAAAAAAACTTCCAAAACTTTACAACACTGATTTCATGAATATCTGGAATATGAGTATTTAATATTATTTTTTAGCAAATACACATTTTTGTTAGCTTTTTGCTTATGACTGTAGAGTTAATTGGGACTTTTTCAAATTCCTCTTTGAATTTAAATTAACAATAGTCTACTGTATGCGGAAGATTTGCATTTGATGCCATTTTCATACAACAAAACAAACAAGTTAAAACAAAAACTGTTAAAAGGAAAAAAATCAACATACATTGCATCAAAGACAGAAGCATGAGAATTAGCATACTCAATGGCATAGCCATGAAACAGCATTTTACAACCACAAAGGATATTTGAATTTTCATTTAATTTATTTAAAAATTTTACAGCATGCATATTGTCAATGTAGTTAATGGTCAGTAAGAATTTTTATAATTTTATTTCTGTTATTAATCAATTAATAAAACCTGACTTTTAATGTAATGGGTTTTTAATATGTAGCCATTAAAATAGAAACATAATTTTTCTCTGATTTAGTAAATATTATTCTAATTAAAACAACATGGAAACTTTATTTAAACTACAAATCCACTAATTAAGTTTTAATGATGTCCATACAAATACATTTTTAAACGAATCTCCAAATCAAATTATTATTGCAGAGATTATACAGCACACTACCATCCTAATTTTTAAAAAGGCTTTATATCGTCAACCATAGATGAATTCAGTTAAACAGAATCTATTTTATGAGATATTTTAAATATTTAATTTGAATTGTGCAAAAATATACACATGCTCTCATTTAATATGGTATTATGAATAAGCTTAGAAAATAATTCAGTTTTCTGTTTTTCAGCAATCACGCTGCTTTTCACTTTTGATTATGGAGAGATTACACTAAACCAGGGGTGGCGAACCTTTATACACCAGCGTGCCATTTTCTCTAAAAAAATTGCTTAATGAGGTCATAGACGTGCCGTCAAATAATTTTGACTTCGTGATTATTGGAAAAATAAATATACTAAATACTATCAACTCAAAACTCTTTATTTACATTGAAAAAAAATACATTTTGCAATAACTCAGTTATACCCGTAATTCAACTTTCAAGTAATATCAGTGCGACTTCTGTTGTTGCAGATTAGATGACAAATAAATTAAGTTGTAAGATGCTTGTTTAAGCAGGACTGTTAATTTTTTTTTTGCTAGTTATTTATTGTTAGCTTGTTTTTTATGGTTATTAATTGTTTTTTTTAGCATTAATTTTTAACTTTTTTATTAATAATTGTTAATTATTTTGTTTATTTTTTGTGAATTTTAATTTATTGATACATATGCTTCATAGTGTAACAACAGCTGTGATCGGTGGAGTGCCCAAAATATTGTGTCGTAAATATTGTAATTTTTTCCTGGTTTTCCTAAAATGTGGCTAACCCAGCAGAAAAAGATTTAACAAAAAAATTATCCCCCACATTACTCTAAATTAAGGACAAGAGGAATAATGCTTGAAAGGGAAATTTTTCTTTTACTTATTTATAAATTATATTTTTATTTTAAGAAACAGTCAAAGTATTAATAAGAGAAGTACAAAAATAACTCACCTTAACCAGTGCCTTTTAGAAACTGAAGTGCGGCAACAAATAGTATCATACTGATCAGCAATCCATATAAGAATTATAATGTAAAATGCAGAATTTGCATCATTAAAATACTCGGACATTATAGCCTCCATGCCTAAAGATAAAATAATTTTCAAAGTTACATTCTATTGTCAGATTATATTCTTCAGTAGCAATATTAGCAATCAAAAATGTTTATGAATGTTTTGTCACAAAACTAATAATCTATAATAATAACATAATAATACTAAAACTAAGCAAAAAATTTAAGAAAAAAAAATTGTGAAAAATTTAGTAACAGAAAAAAAGTTAATAGAAGATTAAAGTTTCAAATAGTGATGTTATTTTTTAAAAACAGGAAATTAATATAATGATTTCATAAACAACTATTTTTAATAAGTTACTTCAAAATATTTTTAAGTTAATATTGAAGGACAATGCGATTTGGCCTTTTATGTAAACATTACTACACTCATAAATATACGATTAAAGACTCCCTTGAATTTTGTACTTAATAAACTTATAAATCAGCTGTCACAACATAGCTGCTCATTTACTAAATTAAATATAAAACAAATATAAAAAGCAACTTTTAAATAATAAATTTTAAATTGAGAATGAAAACATTGCCTAATTTCATTGTAAGTGCATAAAAGTTCAATCAAAGACGCTTGCTTTTTTTATTTTTATTTTCTTTTGGGCGGGGGGGGGGAATTGTTATTTAATAATGTGAACTTTCTAAATCATTCTTGACGATTTTGCCACAGTCTAAGCTGTAAGGTTATGAAGGTAATTTTTCGACAAATTTGGCCAGACTTCAGGATTTTTTGAAATCCTTGACAGGACAGGATAGAAGTCATAAATATTGTGAGATATACACCCCAAATATTTTTGATTAGACTAACTCAGTGCTTATAATTGAGCAGTCTATAATTTTGATGTTCTTAAAAGAAAAAATTATTTTGTGGCCTTAGAATAATGGATTCTTGCATTATCTTGTCGAAAGAAGAAACTAGTCTAAATTTTACACAAAATTAAAAAAACTCTTTAACTAGGAATTCAAAGTACTTGACGAAATTCATTTTGGTTATTAACCAACAAATAGGAGTCACATAACTATAATTTTCATAATTTCTTGTACATGTTACATAATTTGTGCATTATTTGCCATTTTTATTGTTCATTCAAATAATTGTTAACACTTAGAGGCTTTTTTAATTCCATACATTTTACACAACAGTGGCAGAGGGACCAACGTTCTTTGCAAAACATATTAGTACAGCACTTCAGGGGCAACAAGCAATACCTTTGCTCTAATTAAGATGCAATAGAAAGTAGCAGATTATTAAAAATTTCATTTTAAAACAGCATGTATCTCTAATTGGTTTAGACCTTATAAGTTCAACTTTACGAATGAATGATACTAATACTTATCAATAACAATTTTTTAGTATATTTCTCCACTAAATAAGTGAAAACTAAAGATGTGATTTAAATATGGTCAATATAAATAAATAACTCAGAATTTTATAGAAAAAAAACAATTGAAAATGCAAATATCTTTAACCATACATCTAATTCTCTAAAATACTAGTAATAGGATGGAGGGGGGGAATTAATTAGAACCTTCTTAGTTAAGTAAAACTGTATAGTAATTTCAAATAAACAAGCAGTTAGATGGTTTTTGTAAGGTTGATTCTTGTGTCATTCTAGATATCAATGGAGAGAAGAAGAAAAAAGTGTATTTTGGATAATATATAATATGCACCCAGTTTAGTACCCCATGCATATATCATGTTTTAATAATATTGACATTGCTAATCAGAAGAATAGCAAGGGTTGGGTTGCAGATGGTCGTGGAATTATATTAAATATATATGTCTATTCAATAACAATAATAAGCTTTAAAATAAATAACTTCGGTCTTCTTTCATTTTTGAACATGTAATAATATGCACGTAATAAAATTATTCATTATATTTATCTTGTTTACTTTCAGCCTCCAACGCCTTTTTATAGTGACAAGTAAAAGATTCTAATGTTTTTTCTAATGTTACAGTTTTCAAGCATTGAATGGCTCAATGAAAAAATGCTACAAGCAATTGAGAATTTTCTATAAACAACCTTGGTTTTTCATAACTTTTAATAAAACAATTAAAATTCTTATTGGAGAATTTGGTTTTCATATTTTTTTTACAGTTTTTGATTGTTAGTGTAACATAAAATATGAAAAGTGAACTATTTATAAACATGTTTCATGAAAATAAAAATTTCTGAAAAAGGAAAGAAAAAAAAACACCTTAAAAAAAATTAGTGTTCAAATTTTGATTACATTACATCAGTCTTTCTTTCAGAAGTTTAATTTCTGTACAATAATGAGAAAGCAACTTCGACACTGTTTTTGTTCATTATTTTTAAAACAAAAATAGGATTGCTAATAAAAACCTCATTTTTAATTTCTTTCTTTTTACTGTTAAAAACAAGGGACATAACCATTAAAATAGGGAGTAACTTAGTTAAACAATTAATTTACAGGATAAACTTAGTTAAACAATTGTCACTTGCATAAAGCTAAACTCGTGTCGCATATTTCGATTTTAAATATTATTATTTACTCAAGCATTAACAATACAACCAAATTATTCTTTAAATAAAGTAAACAAAAAACTAAATCAACCAGGCAAAATATTGAAAATGATCTGAAGTTTCAAAACTATGACACGCTTAGTGTTTATTAAATATAAGTAATTTGATAATGAAAAGAGAAAAAGTTAACCTAATTAAATCCAGATTTACTCCTTCAGATAATAAAATATATTTATTTTAATTTTAAAAACAAAAGAAGCAATATACACTAGGGCTATAATAAATTCAGTCAAACCACATACATATACCTTAACATAAAAACTTAAAAAGGGATTGATACAAAGGAGGGGGGGACAAATATAGCAAAGTTTAAAATGAATAATATATAATTAAAAGGCATATTTCTGATTGTATTTTCATATCTATGATATTTAATTTAAAATTTGGGTTTATATTTTTAATGTTATGAATTGAAAAAGTAACTAAATTATGGTTACATTAAATCCAAAAGACACAAAATGTAACTTTCAGCAAAAAAAGGATCAAATGGAATTATTTGGCAAAGAAAAATTATTCTAAACTACAAACAGAGCTGCTCATTATTAATAAGCAACATTCTTTTCCTTTTAATTATAGATATAAAATAAAATAGGATATAAATACATGTTAATAATAATAAAAACAGCCAATAAATCACTAAAGTGATACTTTTAACTGGAAAAATTTTAAAGTACACAAAAGAACTTACCTACTAAAGCTAACACCACTGTAAATATTTGTGTGATAGGAAAATTCAGACTAGCATTTAACTCTAATGTATGAAATAGTTCGACTGTAGGGAAGAAAACATTAAATTAGTATGACACTTTTAGTATACATTATTATAAGTAAACTTCTTTTTACTAAAGTACAGTACAATTGTTGTAATGATAAATACAAAAAAAATACATTGGAAATGCACCAATCCAAAATGACATAGAAAACTGTCTGTTCTGATTAACAAAAATTAAGAGTGCTTAAAATTAAAATAAAAAAAGGACAGGATACAGATAATAAAATATACTGGAAATTATAATCTCTTTAAACATATCTCTCTTAAGCATTCTTAAAATTCAATTAGCTATGAACTAAAATCTCAACAGCTGCAACTAGAGCAATCTTCATGTGAACCATGTCATCTATAATCTTTTCTTGGTATGTTTTTTGAAATATGTAAGCGATTTTGAATACTTAACTTTCAAATTATACATTTAGTTAGTTTAGATACTACATTATACAAAATCAAAACTATATATTATGTTTTATAGTATGTTAAAAATCTCATTTGTGTAATATATACAAATTACGAATCTTATGTACTTTTAACTCGTTTGACACAGTTTCCTTTACACACAGTTTCCTTTGTTCACAGTACAGATCCATTCCTTTATCAAAATCATGTTTTCACATATTTTTACACCACATATAGCAACAAAATTATACACGATTCCTTTTTAATTTTCTAGACTTTCTGACAAATTACATGTGAATAAGTTGGCTTCTACTAATACTTTGAAAGTGTTATCATATTGAAAGGATCTGACTTTTCATTTATTTATTTGATAATACTAAAAAAAAACCTTTAACCATTGAGACTATAAGTGAAATTGTACAGAAATTTTCCCATCATGCAATATTTTCCCATCTAACAAAATGGAGAAACCAGTATTTTGATACAAAAATTCAGAAAAAGCCGGGATTTAATGCTCAGAAGGCTAAATTTAGAAAGCAAAAGATTATTTTTCTCTTTTTATGAGAAATACTACTCGCTTTATCATGCTAGCAAGTACTAAATATAATTTTTTGATTCTGTACATTAACAAAAGTGTGTGTGTGTGATTATGTTCATTGTTTATATAAAAACCACAAAAAAATGTAAAAAGTAAATATTTCCTACTATCATGAAATTTATGTTTTGTCACTTAAATCCATTCACAAATCAAGAAATTTTGATAAAAATTCAGAGATATAGTAACCATTTTTCGAAGCAAATAAAAATTAAAATATAATAACAAATAGAACATCTGTAATGTATCTTACCAACAAATAAAAATATTTGATGATGTGAATATCTTAACAGCATAGAAACAGCTAAAGTCTGAAAAATAAAATGTTACCTTTAAAATGGGCCTTATATTTTACACAAAATACTAAGTTAATATACCTACTAATAAGAGATAATGTTATATGTTTTAACAATATTTCTTATATTTTCACCCACAACTGATTAAAAATAAATGCAGATTATTTAAAAATAAATAAATAAATGGATAGATGGAAAAAAAATTAAGGAAATTACACAGAGTATAATAAAAATATTTTTAATTAAAAACAAATTATGTCGTAATTTTTATTAAATAGTAAACTTTTGGGGAAGCTACTTATTATACATTAATAATTGGAGAATACACATTCTTTGTAATTTATAAGAATAGACATTTCAATAAAAAACATAATAATTTCCTTTCACTTGCTTTCAATTAAATTTATGTATTGTTTATCAGCAACATGTCGCTTAAAATTTGAGTATTTTAAAATGATTGACTTTTTGTTTATGGCTCGTACTACAATTAAAAAGTATAACGTTTATTACACTTTTAAAGCATGCACTTTTTCCCTCATTTAAGATACACTAACAGAAACATCACTAGACATAGACCAGAATTATGACTTGTAACTTAATCAACAACAAAAAAAGGACGGAAGGTTTTAGGCTTAAATTTGTTATTATTATATAAAATAGTAGGACATTAATTATTCAGATATGATATATTAAGTACAGAAGTTTTTTAATTCTTCTACAATCATTGTCAAAATTTAATAACAGCAAAAATGGTAAGTAAAACAGTAATAAAAAGCAATTTAAGTCCTTAGAATTAAAATTAGAACATTTCTGAGCTGTTGAAAGCAAATTATGGCCTTTTAAGAACTGTATGATGCAGTGGGGCCCTGCACTATACATCCATTTTAAAGTGTTACTAAATCAAAGATATAAGACAATATTATTACAAAATTAAGAGCATTTTATGTGTTAAGAGCATATATAGATATGAGATAATAATATTACAAAATTAAAACCAGCCGTTTTATTGTAGCATAAGAGCAAACAATTATATACTCAAACATACATTTAAAGATAATACAAGCAAATTCAATGTCTTTACTTGCGACAAAATTTGTATGCATTCTATATCCCAAAAAAAAGAAAGGCAGTATCTTTTTTCATAGCAAGTAACTATACTCAACAAAAACGAAACAAATAAATGCAAGAATACTACATTGGAATACTAATTGGATTACATAAAACTTGGGTCATTTTTTTTAAATTTAAAAATAGAACGAAAGAGAAATTAACTATGCAATTTCAAAATTAACACTATAAAATATTTTAATTGGTGCACTGGCATTAAACAGCAAACATCTTTTAAAAATAGTAAATGCTCACATAAAAATTATTAAAAAAAGATAATAATTTTCCAGTAACATTAAATTCATTCAATTAATTTAAATTTAAAACACAAACACACAAAATACTTACACAAACTATCATAACAACTAATGAATTTAAATATGAAGCCCAAGAAACATTATAGTCTATAAAACGATAATGGGCACCAGTAACAACATTCCTCACGTAACCTAAAAATATCAAAATAATCAATGAAAAACTTAAAACACTTCAAAATACTTTGAAAAATAGAAAACATATTTAATGTTCTGTTACTTTTCTACATAACAATTTTTTTCCACCAAGTTATTAAAGTTATACAGAAGAGTGATCATTTCTCAAGAGACCATTGCAAATGATAGATATGAGAAAACAACAGGCCAATATAACAATAACAAATGCGGTCAATATAACAAATATAAACTATCAAATAATGACTTGAAAAAAAGTATTAAAAGTAATAAAGAAGTAAACTTCAAAATTAATAAATTCAGAAAAAGTATGAAAAAGTTTCAATGAAAAAATTCTGTATTTCCTGCAAAAATATTTATGCAAAAGAAAGATGAATAAGCACCTTTCTTTAACTGAAATATATAAAAATTTTAGTTTGTACACACTCTTTTTGTTAAAACCCAAAACCATAATCTTTTAATATTTGTAACAGATGAATTGGCGAATTCCATGTTCTTGTACTGTAAATGAGAGAGAATACAAAAAATTTCTCATTGTTCTGAAGGCTTTAAAGCCTTCTTCAAATTTTGGCACTGGCTGTGGCTCTGTTTCATTGTCTTTATTTGCATCACTTAGCACTTATTTTATTACCACCTATATCACTTATTTAGTTTTTGCAACCACTTATTTAGTTCTACAACACCATGCCATTTGTCTCAATATTTTCATAAACATATAAAGTTATGCTTTAGGTCTTTTCACCAAACTGTAAAAAATCCTCATTTTTCTTCATCCTTAGCATCAGGAGTCACCATTTGTTTCTCACAACAAAATAACTTAATTTTTCAAATGTCGGTAAAATTTCTGTATGATATATGCAGGAATCTTTTAGTTTCAGAAACAATCTAAACAGGTATTATTAACATTAGAATATGATTCGTAAAGGGACTGATAAAACAAGACAATGCTTTTAATATAAACTGCTTAAAATGTCAGAGCTATTCATAAATTCTTTTTGTCACAATGGTACATAGTTATTATAGTTATAATGGTTACATAGTAAAACACATTTATGATAGTCATAAATGTAAACGAATCTAATAAAATTTTCTTGGTAAATTACCAATATTTTTGACCAAATAATATTTCAAAAACCTAACTGAATGAAAAAATATGCTAACAATATATTTAAATATATATGCATTTTAACAATATACACATTTACATTTTAACAATACTTTAGAAAATGAGATAAATAAAATATGACATGCTTTATAATTAGGGCCCTATAAATTATGCGAAGATGTGGAAACCCGCATAATTCACAATTATCCGCATAATTTACAATTTTCCTCGTAATCGCAGCATATCTGTATAATTTTTATTTTTCAGCAAAATGTATTCGTTTACCAGATAAATTTCTCCTTAAGGGTGTTTTTTCAATTGAAATATAACATCTTTTTCAATTCCAAGAGTTTTTTTGGTCAGGTGGACGTTTGCAAAGACTTTCAGTTCATTGCAGAACACGCTCAGATATTAATGGATACTCTTCTCTTTTTCGAAACATGTGGTGTATCTATTCACAAAGCTTACAATAAGATTTTTGATCTGCGGTCTAAACTTCCATGTAATTCTCAGGCATCATACTCACGAAAAGATTCACGCAACGTATTTCTTCAAGAAGTGTTTCACAAAACAATTGCAAAGTTGAATACTTACTACTGTCCAGAACTAGACGTATTCAAAAAACGCGGGCCCAAGTTTAGTCAACCTGCATTAAACTTCATGAAAGCTGCTCGAGTTTTTGATCCAGAACAAATAGTCAACCTCAATATTGAAGACGACGATGTATTCAAGAATATTCCAGGAATGAGTGGTCAAGATATAAAACTCGAGTATGCTGCTTACAAAGAATATGAAAAAAAATGTTCAAACCAGGACTTAATTAGATTCTTGAATTCAGAGGTAGTCTCAGAGAGATTTCCAGAACTTACAAAAAAAGCACGACAAGTGCTCTCAGTGCTTCCTAATTCAGTAGATTGTGAAAGAGCTGTATCCTGCTACGGCCAAATTTTTACAAAACAAAGACAGAGTTTGAAAGAAAACGCAGCTTCTGGACTAACTTCTCTCCATTTTAATAAGCTTTAATAATTGTTCTGATGTAGAAAATGGATGTACAATACATAAGAAGGTAATTTAGTTGAAATCTTTACAGTATTCATTGAAAAAAAAAATTTTATTAAAACAGGAAAGAAAGTTGAACTTTTTTAAGAGATTCTTTTTTTCAGTTTCAATTGTTTTCTGGGTCATTCGCAACCTGCATGCATAATTTTTAAAAGACACCGCATAATTTTTAAAACTCGCCGCATAATTTTTAAACAATTTTCACATCATTTATAGGGCCCTATTTATAGTACATGTAATATGATAAAATGGTAAAGAAAAATACTGATGACATAAATAATAGGATAAATTTTTGAAAACCATTACTACAGCCATTAAAATTATGCTTATTGGAAGAAAAAATAAAAATTGACATAAGTTCAACAGCAAAATAAGGTTTCAAAAATGAACACTAACTATTCCAGAAAAATAATATAAGTAAGAAACTGAAAAGTAATTTTAAAAACAGGTAAATAAATAAAGGAAAAAGAAAAGTTATAAAAATGTTTATACAAACCTTTTGCAGAATCTTTTTCAACTAAATGTCTTAGAGATCCTAATAAAAAATCGTGATAGTCTAGATACTGTAACATAAATCGGCTAAATTCATTTCCAAAACATTTGTCTTTTAAAGGATCTGAAACAAAAAGAAATTCAGTAATAAAACATTTAATTTTTTATTTCAATAAGTTTTACAAAAATAACTTACTGTACATACAAAATTTAATAACAAACCAATTTATCATTATATAATACAAAATAGTATATATTTATAATTATTAAAATTATATTATAAATATATATTATAAATATATATTATATTATAAACATATATTACATCCTAATTATAAATACATATTATTTTATTGTTTATTTTATAAGATGTTTAAACATAAGAATCTATAAAGATGCATTCTATATCAAAAANTATATATATATTATAAATACAAATATATATTATAAATATAAATATATATTATATTATAAACATATATTTCATCGTAAATATAAATACATATTATTTTATTATTTATTTTATAAGATGTTTAAACATAAGAATCTATAAAGTGCACAGCAATGGCTTACAAACGTGTTAGGATACCAGGAAAAACAACTTGATTAGATGCCCTTGAAATGAGGAATGTAATAAATGAAATATTCTATTCACTAAAAGAAATTGAAAAAAAAAGCTATAATTTATTTTAAAAAATTAAGCGCATATTTTATGTAGCAAAAGAAGAAATTAAGAAATTGTAAAAAGCAGAAATTAAACACAAAGATTAGTTAAAATGTATTAATGATATTATTTCTTTTATTTACCATCCAAAAATTTCATAAATTTGTTTAAAAATCATATTATATTTCCCGTAAAATATTTTCTTTCCACCAATTATTTACTTGCTAAAAAAATTTATTAAAAAAGTTTAGGCGTTCTTAGCAATAAAATATAAGGCCCAATTTTGACTAGAAGCCTGGGCACATGACTTCTTGTCCCTCCTCTCTGTACAACACCAGGGTGCATAGCCAAATCAATTCAACAAAAAATAAGTACCTTTTAAGCACTTTTCAAGCACTCAAATAATATTTTTAAGCACTTTAAAAAAATATTATTAGGTAGGGCTGGAAAGTTTTTGATAATTGATGGTTTATTCTGGTTTTAACCGTCATGTCAAAAAAAAAAACCTTTTGGCGTTTTCGTACCCTACGGACTGACGATGTGCCGAAATAGATTGGGGTTAAATTAATTGTGAAAACGTTGAATAGAACACTGTGAACAATGCCTTTCTCAATAATTTGTAGCGAAAATCAACATGGTAAACGAAAAATCTCAATTTGGAGAAGGGAAAATGAAGAACTTTTTAAAAATATCCAATGAAAAAAGCACCTTTAAAGGCTTTTAAAAAACGAAAATCGAAAATAAGCACCTTTAAGCACTTTTTAAAAACGCTACGCACCCTGAACATTGATGCACATGCTTAGTAATTTTTAAAATATCACCCTTAAGGTTAAAGTATTAAAAACTATATAGTACATAAATATTAATAAGTATACTTATTTTTCATATGAATTAAAATACATTGTACTAAAAAAATAATAAAATAACGACATTGAATAGTAGTTAAAGAAATAGCAGAAAATATGGTACAAATAAAATGTAATTTTCAAAACATAATAAAATGCTAAAGTAATAATTATGTTTGTTTACCAAAATATAATAATACAACAAACAAAAACAATGAGAAATGAACCAACTTTTGAAAATCTACAAAAACAGTGTACAAAATTAGAATAACAAATAAAAAAAAATTATAATCAGATTTTTTGAAGATCAGATCAGATTTGACAGATCTAATTTCCAATAGGATTCTATTTCGCTTTTCTATTTTTTTATAATATTTATTTAAATCACAAAACTGAAGCACCGAAAAATTGTGTATGCAAATGGCCAAAAGCAGTGTAGATGAAAAGATTGTATACAAATTGAGTTTATAATTTTTCTCTTGCATGAAACAAGATATATTGAAAAGACTGCATGCTTTATAAGTCTTAAACATCTTTCACAGATTGTATTTATTATTCATTCTAGTTAAGCAAAGGTATGTTTACACAAAAATACATCGAAAGTAAAAACAAAATTTCCATCATCTAATTTGCCGGGTAGGTCCTGCTGCATAAAAAGTTTGAAATTGTAACAATTACAAAATTGAATGAACAACACAAGTGACACGAAACCAAATGTGTGGAAAATTTTCAGTTTTGGATAGTCACTCATAAAAGAAACACATAGAAAAAAAGAAAGAGTTTTTATTTGATAAAACAATGTGTATATTTAAAAATACATAAACTCATTTTGTCAAAATGTTCATACTGTTTTTACAAATTGAGTAGAATCAGCCAAAACAATGTGGTATTGTTTTGGAAACATACATCATAGAATGAAACACAAAGAAAGTATGTGTTCAAACAATATGGACCACTTCTATTTTAGTTCGATTTGGCTTAAGCAAAAATCTTTGTAAAACAGTATGGAAATTAACAGAAAATCTATTAAAATTTATAAAACTATATTATATAATTACAACATATTTAATAAAGTTTTATAGCTAAAATGTTCAAACTGTTATTACCAATCAACAATGTGCATGTGACCAAACAATGTGCATGTTTAAAAATGCATAAATTTCTTCTAATGGATACAGTTATAAAAAATTTTAGCAATTATAACAAACATAATACTAAATGAACAACAAGGCTTCCATAAAGATCGCAATATGGAAAATGTCACTCAAAAGAATAGCATAGAATAGAAGCATGAAGTTTAGATAGAAACTAGAAGATAGAATACTTTAAATAATAGAGATCAAATTTATTTTAGGTTTGAATAGATTTAAGTGAAAGTCTGTTTAAACAAAGACTGGTTCAAAGAAAATGTGTCGTATTTAAAATTAAGTTTAATAGTAAAATTTACAACTAAAATATAATGCCTAAAAATCAGTTGAAATCAGACAAAATATGGATATTAAGAAATCCATAATCCCTTTTATTATACAAATCATTTAAATATATAATAAAGTGAATGCTGCATTTCATTATTACTCACCAAGTACAACAGTGTGAACTTCAACACCCATTTTAGTTCTCGTAGCAGGAGACAATTTCAAGAACCCGAACTCTAAGGAATACTCAAGAAGATATTTTTCTTCCACGTGATCTATGAAATGAATATCATAATAATTTTCAAATAAGTACTCAATATATTTAAAAAAAATTACATAAAGAAAAAGAAACAAAACTACATAAATGCTACACTATTATTTTGCATTATTCATTGAATTGTCTTTAGAACCCTTTGTCATCGTGTAATAACAAAGTTTTCACTGAAAATACCAACAACAAAAAATTAAGATTTTGTGCTATGATTCACAGAAATCTAAATAATTTATTTTTTTTTAAAATTCTGCATAGAAATTACAAAACATTTTTCTTCAAGAATTATTTTAAAAAAAAGTAATATGTTGCCTCACATTCCAAATTAAAAAATAGTAAAAAAGAGTAAGCTTTTTTAAAGAAGCAGCATAAAACAACAACAACAAAAAATGTTTCATAATCAATAAAGGCTAAATAGTGACATTAATAAATTTAAAGAGCTTTTAATGCATAAATTTTTTTTCATAACTTTCCTACATCCGGAGATTCCACGCTTGCACCTTCTATATATTTCAGATTTCAAAACAAAAAGTAATTATATTAGACCAATAACAAATGCAATAAAATAGCGAAAATAAAAAGAAATTATAGATTTCTTTTAATTTAAAAAATTTTCATGCATGGGTAATTATTAAGAGATTGCAGGGACTTAGCAATACTAAATAATTATTTTGAGAAAAATTTTATGATCTAAGGAACCCTTAACAAAATTGAAGAGGATATTTGATACTGAGCAATAAAAACTTATGCACATTTCCAACCATGCAAGGGAACCATTTTTCCGGGCTCTACCTTTTAACACTCAAGGAGGGAATGTCATTCATTTTTAACCTCAGCATAAATAGATAATGTCTGAGCTGGAACCACTCTCTCAAAATTCCCACACCAATATAAGGATATTCAGCCACAGCAGATTCAATGTAAAAATTACAGTGTGGTTGTTTAGTCCGCTACCAGGATCAAATTTTCTCGACTCCCGCTCTCTGCCAGAAGAATTTAACAAACTTATAAGCTTACATATTAACAGATTTACCTAATTTTAAGAAAAATTAAATAAATCATACATTAATTTCCGAATATCCATTAATTTCCGAATATTTCCGAAATTCAAATAAGAAAATAATATTAATTTCACATAGGTTAATAATTACTGCATTACAATCATTTCTGCACCAAAAATAATGAGAAAAACACTAATATTATTATTCTTAATTACATTATAAAAATATTTTCATTTCCCTCAAAAGAGTAATAAAGAGCTTTTGATACATTGCAGTAGAAGGGGGGGGGAAGTATTACACAATGCACCAATACTGAATAACTGTGATAAATACTAAATATAAGTCAAATGGGATTTTTTATGAAATTGACAGATAAATAAACTACATGTAATTTTTCATTGGCAAACTGCATAAACATCATTCGTAAATAATTAAGTTGTATTGCAATTAAAACAAAAACTGCCCTAAAAATGTTCAAAAAGATGAAAAAATTGCACATATGCATACTAAAGTGCCAAGAGTGTGCTTATCACTTATTTCAATTAATCTCGTTCAAGGAGAAAATAAAAATTTCCACTAACCTCTTTCTGAATAAATTTGAGACATAATTTTGTATTTCATACAGCTGTTCAAATCTTAGAATATATGTTTCATTTTAATTTTAAAAATATTATTTTCATTACAGAACTATTAACACTTAACATACCAACACTTAATATGTACCTATTTCTACCATAGCAGGTCAAGTGATCAGACTTTATGTTTCTTAATTGAATGTATGAAATATGGATGTTAGGAAGGAAATAAAACAAAAAAAAAATTTTCTAATTAAACAAAATTGTATATTGCCAATTTTTATGTATTACAAGCATAAAGAATAAGAGTGTTTAATTCATTGCTCAACACATTTTTTTTTACATATGCAGGGTGTTTCCATTGAACATTTTCTGCAAACATATTTCTGCTAATTATTATTAATAATATAATTCTTATAATTATTCTTATCATTATAAGAATATATAATAATTATAATTCTTATAATTAATATTATTTATTCTAAGAACTTGTGCTGTCTTTATTGTTTTGACATTTTTCTGGATAAAAACTAACAGTTAATTAGAAATTAAGTAAAACTCATCATCATCATAGTTGGCCAGACAGCCCAATGTGTGCGAATGCCGTCCCCTGAAGATTTCTCCATGACGACAGCAGTATCTTTTTTATTGTATTATCATCACTCATTCAAAATCACATGGGCCATCCAATTCATTATATTTATTTTANTATGCATACAAAAGTGCCAAGAGTGTGCTTATCACTTATTTCAATTAATCTCATTCGAGGAGAAAATAAAAATTTCCACTAACCTCTTTCTGAATAAATTTGAGACATGATTTTGTATTTCATACAGCTGTTCAAATCTTAGAATATATGTTTCCTTTTAATTTTAAAAATATTATTTTCATTACAGAACTATTAACACTTAACATACCAACACTTAATATATAGTACCTATTTCTACCATAGCAGGTCAAATGACCAGACTTTATGTTTCTTAATGAAATATGGATGTTAGGAAGGAAATAAAACAAAAAAAAAATTTATAATTAAACTAAATTGTGTATTGCCAATTTTTATGTATTACAAACACAAAGAATAAGAATTTTTAATTCATTGCTCAACGCATTTTTTTTTACATATACAGGGTGTTTCCATTGCACATTTTCCGCAAACATATTTCTGCTAATTATTATTAATTATATAATTCTTATAATTATTCTTATAATTATAAGAATATATAATAAATATAATTCTTATAATTAATATTACTTATTCTAAGAACTTGTGCTGTCTTGATTGCTTTGACATTTTTCTGGAAAAAAACTAACAATTAATTAGAAATTACGTAAAACTCATCATCATCATAGTTGGCCAGACAGCCTAATGTGAGCCAATGCCTTCCTCTGAAGATCTCTCCATGACGACTTCTGATTCACCTTTGATCTCCAATTCTTTTCATTAATTGCGAGAAAATCAGACTTCACTGAGTCAGCCCATCTCAACCGCGGCCCTCCCCGCTTTCTTGTTCCAGTGGGTCTAAAAAGCAGTATCTTTTTTATTGTATTGTCATCACTCATTTGAATCACGTGGGCCGTCCAATTCCTTATATTTATTTTAAACTATCAAAATAAATTATAAGCTACTTACCAAAACATTTAGTTTTCGTCACTTTTTCTTACACAAAAATGCGAATCTAAAATTAAGGTACTTTCTTGAAATTTGAATTCACAGTTTTTGGATTGAACTAACTACGCGACAGTCTTTGCAGAAATATGCTACTAATCGAATGCAATACGTAGAACACACATTACATCATGATTTCTGATCCGATAACCTTATAAAGCAATAAATTGTTCTCACGGTCAAATGACTAGTTGTGGTAGAAATACATATACAACAAGTATTATTCGAAACAAACAAATATGTAAAAAAAAATAGATTATTAACTGTATATAATTTTTAGAAAAAGTCATGAAGTCAAATGTGCAAAAACAATAAGATGATAAGCGCATTTTCAATGTCAAAGTTCTTAAACGGTCATTTGACCAGTTAAGGCATGTTTAGTGTTAAATACAATGCTGAGGACGAATACAAAAAATAATTTCACTACCAAAAACCTCACATTCTAAGATTTTAGTCAACTGTAAAATGTAATAAAAAAATTCACACGCCTTTCACACAATATTTATGGGAGGTAATTTGCATCTTCCCCATAGAGTTAATATTAGTAAAAAAAATAGTCAGGAGACATTCACTCCACATAGGCAATTAAATATACCTACCAATACTAGTGTAAATTTCAGATTCTGTTAAAGTTGTAGTAATAGGTGAAAGACAGTCAGGATCAAAAACACTATCTTTAAAAGGCCCTGTTCTATTAATGAATTCTGGGCTTTTTTCAGCATCCAAAATATTATCCTCTGCATCATTTTCATTGTTATTGGCAGCTTTACTTGCATATTCTGCTTGTCTTTTACTTTGTGCTAATAAAATTGCATGGCTTTGTTCTTGAATAGCTTTCCTTGCACTACTTTTAACTGGTGTCTTATTGCAATATTTAGAAACATCCACAGGAACAGATACTGGCTCCTCTAAAGAAATTTTGAGTCGTAGAACACCTTCTCTTGACCAGGTCATTGTTTCATTATCTAAGCATGTGATTGGGAGTTTCACAAAAGCAAAATGTACATAAAAGAGGATAAGCAGGGAGATAAGGGCCTAGAAAAATAAAAAGTCACATTAATCACATTTTTTTTTCGGAGATAGTTTAGGAGAATGTTAATATTTCAAAATTTTAAAATAGGCTGAATTTGTAAAAAAGAAAAAGTATTATTATTTTAATTATAATTAAATAATATAATTCAAACTCTATAAAATTTTGAGAAAGGTTAATCAAAATAATATCATACAATTTGTTTAAAAAAAAGCTCTGTTTAAAAAGTTTTAATTTGTTCTGTATTCCCTGTTTATTTTCGCTAGGTAACGCAAAGTGATATCAAGAAAACAGAGTCACCAATAAACAGTCTATTAAAAGTAAACAAATAAGCCGATGACTCTATTTACCATTAAAAGAAAGTAATCAGATTGTTTTTAAAAACTTAAGTTAAACTACTTTTCAAAAGAATCCAATTTTGTTATATTTTTATTTTAATGAATTAATTTAAAATCCTATTAAATGAACTTTTAAAAAATAGCAATAACAAAATAAAAAACATGCACTTTTTCTTTACTCTTTCACAGATTAAAAATCTGAATTAACTCATTATGAGAGAAATTAAAACTATTAATACAGATAAATTTTATAAAATAATTTAATTATGAGGGAAATGACAGTCTTGTAGGTTTTCTATTCCAATCAAAGCCATTCATTCTATGAAAAAAAATATTCAACTTTGAATTTCTGATATTACTATAAATGAAACAGAAAGTGAAAATTAAAAATACATAATCTATATAAAAAGCTATATAATCTAAATGATAAAGTGGCAATCTAATGTATGTAAAAGGCAAAATACAATCCCAGAAAAAGAATAGAATTTTTATCATTCCAGAGGCAATGGTAATAATATATACAGATGAAAGTTTCCCAAAAAAGATCCAAATTTGTTTCGTTCAAGTGGCAATAGTAATGAAATAACTGCATTAAAAAATTAAAATTTAACTAACTCATAAAATGAAAAAAAAAAACAATAGTACAACAAATGAAGTTCAAAGAACTGATCATATAATCCTGTTTTCGGTGCTGTTTCTTCCAAGTGACAGCTTAAATGTGAGTAAAATTGTTAATTTGTTATTTCATTTAAGCAAAGAAAGAATCAAATTATGCTTTATTGAAATGTTAATTCATCCCCTGCAATATTTATTTTAAAATTATTACATTTGTTAACTGAATTTTAACAAAATAAACAAACCTAAATAAAAATTATTGACAATACCTATTTGAAATAATAAAATTTCAACAAATTCAGTATAAATTTTTAAAAAGGGAAAAAAATAATACATTCGTAAGCATAAAGCACTAATGATTGACAATTAATACCAATCATCAGTGCAAAATTGTTTATTTCCAGTTATTTATTGACAAACATAAAGGCATTTGAAAAATATTGTATTGAATTTTAAATTTTTATACTTACCTTGTTTCAATTGTAAGGGAAAATATAGGCAGTGAAACTTATATAACAAGTTAACTAAAATGTAGTTGTATAAGTACAAAATCTTTTATAAATATATTACAAATAACATCAGTGTGATGTTACTTGTAAGTGCAATGAATTTTCTTGTTTTAAATTCAATTTTTTGAAAGGAAAAATAAATAAAAATATGGTATATTTTTACATAAAATAAAAATATTGATAATACTTATTTTAACTTTTGTTTGTATTACTTCTTTAAATAACTTAGTACATATAAGTTATCAATCAGACAATGTACTATGTATTGCTTAAACAAGAATATTAGACTACTATGTTTCAGAATCCAAAAAGAGATCAACAGCAAGCACTTCTAGTATACAATGAACTGAAACATTATCAAGTATTTAAACATCATTAGAGCCGTAACTTTTTTACTTAAACTTAGAAATATTGCTACTTATTTTAACTTTTGTTTGTATTACTTTTTTCAATAACTTAAGATTATATAATTTATCTCTGTGGCAGGATTTTTTTCTGGCTTTCTGGGACAAACCTCCTTAGCACTTATATCTTTCTGCAAGATATTTTAATAATAATAAATTAATATTACTAATTTGTAATGACAGAAGAGCTTTGTGTTTATAAAAACACCCTCCCTGCATAGAAAAAATGGAATATAATATTTCTTTTTTAATTGTGAATGTAATAATAATAAAAGAATTAATTCTAATATTATGGGCAATACTCTCGCATTTTGAAGGTAAAAAAAAAGCACTAATTATTTCCTTATTTGCAATTCAAGTGATCATTGCAGAAATTTAAAAAAAAAATAATAATAATAATAAAAATAAATAAACAAATAAAATCCTGAAATCTGTGGCTATAACTGCCAAAAGAAAGATGAACGACAAAAGCACATGGACTTTCAAAGAAATCCAGAGAATCAGACTCTTCAAAAAGAAATTATTCATGCATCCCTAGCAGCAAAATAGGTCCCCATTTAGCCAATATTCACGAATCTCGTCTTAATAATTGCTCAAAGAACCGTTATTTTTCCGATATTGCCCCTGTATAGAATTTTCCGATTCACACGATATTTCACAGCCACTTTACAACCAATATCAATTCTATATAGAATTGTCAGACTCACCCAATATTTTATATCCATTATTAAGCCAATATCGGTCCTATATTGGCCAATGTTGGCCCTATATAAGCCATTCTGGGACCAATATTAAAAAATCTAGACATCCCAATATAGGTCCCTAGGCGCATGTTCTTATAGGACTCATACTGAACCAATTTTGAGCCCAACTGGGGCAAAGTAAAAATGTTGCAAGGTATGTTTCGTGATTCACTTGTTATAATAAATAATATCATATTAAAAATATTGGATTTTAAAAACTATGTAAAAACTAATAGCAATAACTGAAAAAAAAAATTATCAAAAGAATCATTCATCAAAAAATAAATGCTCTCATGTCTGTTTCGAATTTGAATAAGATTACCAGACTACTATGTTTCAGAAGCTAAAGAGAGAACAACAGCAGAAAAATGACTTCCAGTATACATAGAACTGAAACACTATTGAGTTTTCAAACCTCATTGAAGCTTAAACTTTTTTATTCACTGAAATTGATTTTACTAGTAACTTTTTCACATTATTATTTTTTTTCTTCTATATTCACAAAGCATTTCAACCTCAAATTTTGGAGGAAAAATTCAGAACTTATAAAACAGTAGAAAATCATCAAGAATTTAAAAGTTGCTTTAAAAGTTATGCATAGTATTAGAACATTTGGGACATTTTCAAAAAACTTACACTTTTGATGTGTCATGACTTTAAGTAATTTTAATTTCTGAAATAGAATTCCAAATAACATTTTTAATCATTCAAATTAATTTACTATATGTCTTTAGTAATTTTAAATACATAGAATTTAATATCTTAAAATAATGCCTATGTAATACTACGTTAAAGTGCCAGATACTACTGAAAATTTGCTATGTCCCAGCCTTTTTAGCCTCTTATACAGCTGCAAATAACACATTTTCAGTCAAAGATGAGTAAACACACTATTTCAATAAATCTTTTTTTAAATAACACTGTGACGCATGTTTTTCACTAATTTTATTTTTCTGCTATTGACAAGGAATCTTAAGATATAAATAAAATATTGGTAATTCAATTGGAGTAAACACTTTCTATTGAGAAATTTTAAAACTGTTTTAGTTTTTTAACTTGAAACGACTATTGACAAATTTGACATTTTGAAAATGTATAATTATTCCATTTGAGAAAAATCCTATGTTTTTATGATGGATTAAAATTCTCTTTTATTATGTTAATGGTAACTTTATTTATTGACTTAATTTAATATTTTATTACATATTAAGTTTATTAAAAAAATATATGCAGATATCAATATTTGTATGACTAAAATTCAGTAATTTTCAACACAAGAATATTTAAAAATTTAGCTCTACTAATAGCCTACCCCTTTGTTTACTTTTTTCTATTTATTTCCAACCATTTATTAAACTTTATTTTTCTATATAATTTAACAAAAAACAATTTTAATGATTTACAATGTAAATTTGACTAACATTGACACTTGATAACATATAGTATAAGTTAATGTTTCATATTTTAATTTCATGTTCAAAATAAAAAAAAAAGTGCATTGCGGTTTTATGGACAAGAAACATTCAAAGGGTAGTTGAAATTTTTATAGGAAGTAATTCAAATATTTTTTTAAGAGAAATTTTTCAAGATGGGTCTCCATTTTGAAAATGATCTATTTGTAATAATAAATTTTAAAAAAAAATTTAAAAAGTGTTATTTAACATAAAAACAATCAACTTTGAGCTAATTTGTATCTAAAACTTGTGAATGTTAAAAGAAAATAAACATAGTATAACATATCAAATGCATAATACTATACAGATAAATTCATACAATTGAGATATTCTAAAAATTCTAAAACAAAAACTTACAAGAGCTAAAGAAATAATTTCAATTAACTTTCTCAGAGTTTCTCCAAATGTTGATGCATATGCCACGGTCATTTTTTCAAAAAGGACTTGAAATAGTCTATCTCTTACTATCCATAAAGTATTTTGATTATTATTGTTATTATGAAATTGATCTCTGTTCAGTGGTAATGAATCCATGTCCATCAGCAATCTCTCCGCTGGATGAAGTTGGTTTGGCATATTTTAAAATATATTATCATCACATGCCTGAAATATGAAATTTAACTAATAAAGATACAAATAAAGAGATGCTTCGTGATGAATATTAAATGATAAATTTATTAATCTAAGAAATAAGATGAAATTTTTCATAAATTTGCTAACAAAAAAATAATAAGAATTTAGAGAAATGCATGAAATTTTACAAATACACAGAAATTCAACGATTTTTCTAAAATAAAATAACTAGCTACTGAAAATTTACACAAGCATTGGAGCATATTTTTTAAAATGATTAGAGGTTTAATTTTATAGTTGCTAACCATCCTTAAATTAAAAAAGAAAGGATTAAAAAAAAGATCAGAATATATGCATAGATACATAATCAACTTGATTTCAAAATAAAATATAAGTTATAAGTACCTCTGCTTGTTATCTTTAAAATCAAAAATGAATTACATTTATTATATTTCAAGATGAATATGTGGATTAGTAGAAGCAATTTTAAATCAGAAGTCAATTCACATCATTAGAGGTAGAAAGTGGAAAGTGAGTGAAGCATGATAAATAGCTCAAGGATCAAGTTCAAGGAGATTTAATAATAGCTCAAGCAATGATGAAAAAAAAGCAGTCAACCACATCTGTGTTAACATCTGTTACAAGAAAATATTTCACAGTTTGAAAAAAAAAAAAACTGAAACTTTGAAGTAATGCCACAAAAAAGTTTGGAAGAATTTAATGTTCCTCTGCCTCCTGCAATGGAAGCATACATTACAACAAAAATTATAAAAGACTTTAAAGCAATTGATTTTTCAATCTAATTTGTTATTTTGCTGATGAAACTAAGATATTTTTAATGCAGTTGATTTCTAAAATAAAACGCTGTTGAAAATACTTGTCATGATTAAATTAATTAATTTCTAATACAGTTTGTAATAACTGAAGTAAAAATTAGATATCATAAAATCATGATCTCTAAAAGTGTTTTTACCACAGAATTCAAAATTTTTAATTACAGTGGAGCATCGTTTATACGACTCCGAAGGGACCACCGAAAAACGTCGTATAAACAATAACGTCGTATAATAGATTTTTACTTCTAAAACTGAAACTAACTCTGCTTTCAGTAAATTTTAATGTTTAACGTGTTGATCTAAATAAATTTCTAAATTAGACAAAGCAAAACAAACAAATAACCAAAGAAGAAAAATTGCAGTGAGCAATTTGAATGTATGTTACCTTTAATTATATTTTCTTGCTAATAGTCTCTACAATGCTTTTAATAGCGAGTTGAACTTACTGCTCTCTATGATGCAATTTTAGATTTTTAATCACGGCCAAATCTAATGGCTGAAGCGCACTTGTGCAATTTGCAGGAACAAAGAGAGCTTTTACATTTTCCAAAATAAGTAGTATCGATGGGTGCGCTGGACATTGGTCTATGAATAGCAAAATTTTTCGTTTTTGCCTCCTCATAACATTAAAAATTACGGTCGTCATCCAAGCATCCTTGTTGGCACCCTTTTCTGTATCATTCATGTTGGCAAATTCCGCCCTTTTTTAAAATACACAAGAAAAAATAAAAAATTTATTAAGCGTGAACAAAATCTAAAAACCGACGTATAACCGATTCTGTGCGGCGTATAAACGATATATTTTTACATTAAAATGAATAGGAATGATTTGGGACCACACTAAAACGTCGTATAAATGTAAACGTCGTATAAGTGATCGTCGTATAAACGATGCTCCACTGTATATACTTATTTTGATGAAATGTGTAAATTCATATTTATATTGTAATATTGAATTTAATGTTTAGTTAATTTAAATAGATGCTGCTTTTCAAATCATCTTAGTTAGAACCGCAATATAAAAAATAAAAAGATGGATATGGTTAAAAATCAAAATAATCGATTTTTAACAAAGAAACAATATCAAAGTTAAGATCCAAAGGAAAAGAGTTTACACTTATATCTTGACACTAAACATGAATACTTTTAACATACAACAATGAATATCTATTTGATGGCGCAAAACCTCAAAACAGGACCCCAAAATTTAGAAACTTTTCTTTAAAGTAAAAAATTATTTATTATGAATCATGTCAAACATGATATTGAGGTAACTAATAAAATTTTAACATAACTTTAAAAAAATCAAAATTCTAAGCACATTGTAACAAGGTCATTTCTATTTATTGCAAAGTCTTTATTGTCATAGTAATTTTAGATGAATTGTTTGAAATAATGTGTATCAGAATAAAGATTTTTGCAAAATAACAAAAAATTAGAAATGATTATTCACATTGTAACACACATTATTAAACAATACTAAATTATATGAATTTATTCAACATAAGTGTACCTTCATTTTATTTTAAGATTTATAAATATAAAGTTTAAGCAGTGTTTTCACTACAGCGCGAGAATCACGCATATTTTTTTATTNACAGCTCATAGAGGGCCAAGGCCTACTGTGCCCATCTCAGTTTTCTTGACCTTGGGCTCTGGGGTGCAGGAGTAGACGTTCCAGTTAGGTGGTCAGCCGAACGCAGAACCCCCAATGTTTAGTTCCTAAGCGTGCTTGGTACTCATTTATCGACGGATGAAAGGCTGAGTCAACCTTGCCCGGCCCGAGGATACACATTATTAAACAATACTAAATTATATGAATTCATTCAACATAAGTGTACCTTCATTTTATTTTAAGATTTTACTAAATATAAAGTTTAAGTATCATTAGATACTTCCCAAATATACCTAACTCTTATTTATTTCATAAAATATATATAACATACACTTCTATTAACCATGAATAACTAAGAGTAAATTATATAAGAAACGTTAATACATTTTCATTTTTTTGAAGTTCTGACTCACAAACCATGGAATGACCACCAAGCTGATAATCGCTCTAAAGTTCATTTAAGAACACTTATTTCTATGGAATGTATTAATTTCAATTCTAAAAGAGCAATAATTTTTAAAGGTTTAACATCTATGTATCAGTATCTGCATTTATCTGTATTAGTTAAGTGAATTCCATCCCTAATTGACATCTATGACCATGAGCAAGCAGATCGCTTAGTCAAGGAGGGTTGTAATCACAGAAGTCAATGCCTTCCTCTTAGGCCGTTACCTGCTCAGAGCATCAATCTAAGATCAAATCTGCAATTTCAAAGGAGTGGAAGCTCTCCCTGTCACCACTGATATGCGGGCAAAGAGCTAGGCTCTTCATTTGTTCATCTCAGTTTTCGTTTGTTTCTCTCAAGTTTCATTCTCAACTTTCGTTTGTTTCTTGTTTCTCTCTCTCATTTTCAAGATTGGCAAGTGGACACACAAAGAGTCTCATGTATTTTGAGGGCTGGATGATTTCAGCAGTCTGGCTCTAAATGTCATGTTCAGCAGGCCTCAACATCATGGACAGCTTAGATCTTTCCAAGGGAGAATTATGTCCTTCTCCTCTTGTGATTCCTGATTTTCTGTAGGTCAGCGGTCTATTGCAGTGTCTCCAAAGTGTGGTACACGTACCCCCAGGGGTACAGGAACAGTTTAACGGGGGTATGTGTTCTTATGCGAAATATCTTTCAACAAACAAAAATTTTCTTTAAAAACAAAGCTAGCCATGAAAATTTAGGATTACACATTTTTCTATAAGCTATTTTTTGCTGAGTTTACATTGAATAATTAGGGGTGTCAACACCCAGTTGTAATTTTTAACTTTTGTGCAAATTTTTTTACAGTAAGAAATACATTCATTTTTTATTAGTGGCACACAGCATTACGAAGAATTTAGAAAGGGTACACGAAAGTCTGGGAAACACTGGTTTAATGGAACTTGTCTGACTGCGTCAGATAGTTGGAGGATAAGCCACAATCACAACAGTATCTGTGATAAAATAACTACCAAATTTTTGGTCACTTTCGAGCTGAGGGGATCAAGGAATTAAAATTTAAAAAAACATCACAATAAGGAATCAACTCAAAGAGTACAACAGTACAAGTTAATTCTTTTGGTACCTTAGCATTTGTAGGTGGTGTAAACAGATACCGATACAGATACCCCTTGTGAAGTTTCTTGATGAGTTTGTATTTCAGTAAATCCATAAAACATTAGAATATTTTTAAGAAACTAAAACTTACTAAATATTCATATTTAATGAACTAATAAGGCATCAAAATTCAACAAAATTAAGACTCATTAAAGACAAAATTCAAAACATACTTTACCAAGAATACATATTATTATTGACTAAAGCATGAAAGCAAAAGATGACTTACAAAACGTTAAACCAAACGCATATAAATAGATTATGAGTTATATTAAATATATAATCTTAAATTATAAATTAATATCAATAGGTCAAAAAAATTTATACTAATAGGTCAATTGGATTAAAAATTCCAGAATATCAAAACTAACTGACCTTAAATTGATTAATCAATTAAATTAAAATTTTTACTTATAACACTAAACATTCTCTTACATAAAGATCATTTTAGAAATAAATTTTAGATGACATGAAATGTTTTGATCTTACTCTTTACATCATATTACATCCTAGGTTAGATCATCAGGTCATCAGTTGAGTAAAGTTGCCCCAAGGAATAGAAGTCACAGAAAAACACAACAAATAAACAAATGTGCAGTTCACTTCCTGATTTCAGAACTTATGCCCTCGAGAATTAACGGACTCTTCTGCTGGTCTGTTGTCAAACTTCTTTTTTAATAATTATTATTATTAAAGGACGCCTAAGGGAAATTTTGTCTTTTATTAAAGAAAACAATAGCCTTTTTTCTCTGATAAGATCTCAATAAACACTTTTCATTGAACCAAGGATTAAAAATGAGGAAAATTATTTTTTAAAAAAAATCAAGGATGGTAAAAATCAGACAAAACAAAGCTTTTATAATTCTTTGAATCATTAAACTACTAAAATCATGTTTCAAATAAGAAATTTAATTGGAATATTTTATTTCTTTTTTCTTTAAAGACGATTTTATTTTACGAATTTACTGAAAAATAAACTGAAACGAAGTGAGTTGAAAGCTGGATTGTTGATTGTTTCTATTTTTCTGCATTCTGAGATGCACTTTTCTGAAGGAATGATTTAGTAAACTTTAATATTAAAAGGGAAATCTAATATACTATTATAATTGGTTAAAAATATGATGATTATTAAATTTTACTATATTATCGAATCTGTCATACTTTAAATTGGTGTTTATCCATAAAAAAAATTAACTAAAATGTCGTCTGCAAAAGAGGATGGCATGATAAATTTAAATAGCTTTGGAGATGTTGAGACAGCAGTTAAAACTAACATCAAAGAAGAGGAGTTAGAAATAAGTCCTGAATTATTTGCTTTAAAATGTTCTGTCTCTGTTCCCGACGATAAAAATGGGAAAGTTGAAAGTGATAAAATTGAGCTTAATAAACCGAGTGCAAAATCCGCAGAGAGTAAGAGTACATGTAATAATAGTCCTGTAAACACTGTACAACCTGAACTGAAAAACACTGCATCTGATTCACAGTCAGGGTCTTCGTCTAAACAAAATGTTAATTCTAGTTCAAAGTATGCGCATCTACCTGTGCCAAAAATCAACTGTGCTGAGAAAATTGTAAGTTAGAGTGATAACTTTACATTCATCCTTGCATTTTATTATTCTGAATTGTTATTATAAATCATGATGTTAATGTGAAACATATAAGAAAAGTAACCTAACTCTTTCCACATATTTATGCTTCAAGAATTTAATTAATATTTCAAGGGTTTAAACTCTTTTCTTCAGATAAATTCCTTGTTCTCATTTATTGCAATATTACCATATTGCTATCTGGCTATGCCAAAAACCGAACTGCTAATTTACTCAAATTTTTTTTTTAAAAAAGTGTAGAGATATACTGGGGGAGTAGCTACCAGGTATACCCTTCAAATTGGTTTTATTCCATGATTTTTTTTTTTCGCTGTTGCCAAAACTCGGCGATTATTTTAGTGCACATACTGATACGAAATTCTTCTCCATTTAAGTATTTATACATCTAACTGTAATATAAAAATTTAATAAGATTATAACATTTAGCAGTATTTTAATTGGATCAATAACTCCCATGATGTGAGTGTGATATTAAAGGAGAACTAAAATAGTTAGCTCTCATTATCATTTAAGTAATAAAAATCTTAAAATTATTCTCCTGTAAATAGTTATGGAATATTTCCATATCAGTACTTGTTTTTGCTAACTTTTTTGTACTTGGAATAAATTTAAAAATATGCATTTAATGGCTTTTCAGGAATTCACCATACGTCTTACCCTTTAAACTTTTTTTTTTGTTTAAGTTTCTTGCATATTAGTGTCCATTTGTAATTTGTTAGCAATGCATTTTAACATAGATACTACCAATATAGAAATCTCAATAACTTTATTGCTTTTGTCTACTGTATTATTTTTCTCTTAGAACATTTTTGTAGGGACATTTGAACTAGATCCTGATAGTACCAATGCCATATCATGATACTGTGCGGGTGGTTTTTCCTAAATTTTTACTTTTTCGGTTTTTAAGTGCATTCATAATTATGCATTAATTTCATCTGCACAGATGTTGTTTAGATCACAAATAAGATCAATTATTGAAACTAATATAAATAAAAACAATTTAATTCTAAGAGTTCAGAATATTAAAAAGTCTGAATATCATAAAAGAATATTTTAAATTACGCTGAAGGGAAAAGTTTTATTGTTAAGATGATTTTAAAGCATGTGCTTTACCAATCATGTATAAATATGCTGTTGTGTAAATAAGTTATGCCTAGTCATAATCTTAAAAATAAATTGAACCCTAAATCATATTAAACTTTTATCACTCTGGGTAGATTAAAGTTATGATTAGAAATTGTACTTCAACTTATTTTGGTGGATAAAAAAGTTTTTCTCTCTATGACAAAGCAAAAAAATATGTAAATATGCCTTGTGTTAAGTTAAAAACATGAGTAAATTAAAATTAAATAAAAGAAAAATTAATGTTTGCCATAATTGATAGTGTACTTATCTAATCTTTGAAATTAAGTTTAGAAATGAAAAATTGCATAAATCTAACATGAGCCAGTCAAATCATCAAAGAGAGTATCAAAATACGTCTAAAAACTTGCATAAACACCTTGCAAAAATTGTTAAAAACTGTATTTCTAGAAGCCATAAGCTTCTTTAATTTATTTTATTTTCTAATCAGCGAGTTTATTTAATACTTTTTATTCAATATCATTATTTGATAACAATTAGAATAATTTTTATTTATTGTAATTTTGCATTAAAATAATGAGGAGTTTTTTCCGATGTTGTAGATTTTTTTATGTATTACAATTATTTATATGTTACAATTGGGATAAAGTGGGTATATGTTTAAAAAACAAACATCTATTTTCACCTTATTAACTGAGATAATTTGTTTAATATTTTTGGAGACTGGTATTGCGACAAACATTTTTATTTAACTGATAAAAACTGATAAAAAATTTAGTGTTTATAAACTATTTGTTTATGATTAATTTATACAGTATGTTAGTTTAAGCTGTTGAACTTTCTTTAAAAACTGGCAAAAAATATTAATTTCAGTACAGCCTGTTAGAGGGACATCTAAAGTACAGGTCTACCTAGAAATTTAAGAATAAGTTTAAAAATTCAATTTATTATAAGTTATTTTCTAAGGTGTGTTAAAGTGGGTATACGGATAAGCTTAGATAAGTGTTTATGATAGTTTAAAAAAATGTCTAATGCTTGATATTTTATAATGCAATAGATAAAAAAATAATTTACTTCTTTGATTAATTTAACTTTTTAAAAAGAAGAATGAGGGAAGAAATAACATATATACTATACAATTAAAAATATTACCAAATAGCATGATAGTACAACTTAGTGAGCATATTTAAAAATATAGATGAGTTTTCACGTAAATTTCTGTCTTCATATGATAGTTTTTTCATGGAAAACAAAACAGTTCCTTTAAAATAGCTAAATTGAATAAAAAAAATGTCTGCAATAAATAGTAAAAACACTTTAAATTACCGCTATCAATATTTTTTACATTCTCAGCTTTCTAACTTTTAATGAAATTGTGTAGAGTTTAGCAAAATATACTGCATGTGATGTGAAACCAAACTTTAATAACCATGGATGTTAACTCTTTAATAATCCAAAAAAATTCTGCTTTTATTTTTTAAATATAATCATGATACATTTATTTAAGAGCATTTTTATTTCTAAAACAATATTTAAATATGTTTTTTTTTTTTTTTAAATATATATTAATTTTAGAACTGACATACTTTGGCATACTGACATACATGTTCCTTTGAATGCATTACCATAGAAAAACAATGCATCAAAATTTTCAGTAAAGTTAATTTAATGATTTCATTTTAGAGCTTTCTTTTTAAAAAACAAGCTAGATTTTATTCTTACTTACTTTATCCCACCTGACACTATATTATGTAATACAATGGTTTATCAATCTATTTTTCAGTGAAACATTTTTAAATAATAATGTTAAAAACATCTTTTTATTTAAATTTTTGTAAGCTTTTTTGTTGAATTTGTATAATTATGCCTATTTGTTTATTTTAATTTTGTTTATGATTTATTTACCCCGAAATTTTTTTTAATTATTTATTCATGTTTGTTTAAAATAGGCAAATTGTTTAAGAAGATTTAATGTGTAAAGGAATTTTTATTTTACCTGAAAACTTATTATGTTTTAAGATTTTTCTTTTTTTCATTTTGTCACAAATTTTTTGGTCTGTAAAAAACTTTTTCTTTGTAGTAACACTAAATTTCTTTCAGAATGAAATCTCAAGCAAAAACTATTCTTGCAACCTTTTAAAATGATTTTTGTCAAGCGAAATGCATGAATTTATATGGCATAGTTTTCTCTTTTTGCCACTTTCACTGATGGTGAGATGAAACAAGATTTTTGAAGAAGGTCTGCAGATTCAACACTCTAGTTCTAGCCTAGTGTAGTAGACATCTTGATCTGTTATTTATGTAGTTGGTGTTATTTACCTGGGTATGATCTAACAAAGTGTTATCTAAACAGAAGAAACAATGAAAATTATGAAAAAATACAACTGAAGCTGACGTCTTCAGGGGGTACCAGCTCCGGAAGCCATAAATGCAAAACCTTTTCTATTGAGGGAGCACGGCAAATGTCTAAATTGCTCTCTCTGTACACCAAAGGTTTTGCCAAAGTCCAGGAAGAGAATACAATACAAAACTTAAAATACATAAAGCAAATACAAAAGTATAAAATCAAGACTAATACATCAGAATAAAACGCACAAAAACTTACTTGAAACATAAATCCCATAACCAAATTACACTACTGACTGCCATACAACAACTAAATTGAAATAAGTGAAAAAACAATGCCCCCAAATTTGATGCGCAGGCAGAAGAAAAAAAGAGCGAGAAAGTGGTGACATCATTAATAGAAATGCTTAACCGGGGCAACTCACTCAAAACTTGATCTTGCCCTATTAAAGGAAAATACGAAACTAATAATTCTCAATCATTTTCTTAATTTTAAAATCAATATTACAAAAATTAAAAAGAAAACAATTGTTTTCTAAACTTTCCAGAAAATTACTTGTTGCCTCTTCAAAATCGTTGAATATGACAGTTTTAAGATATATCTATCTACCTTTAGTAATTTATTAATTTTAAATTAAAAATAAAATTCTGCCTTTATTAAAGCAAAAAGCTGTTTTGGTATTTTCTCGTTTATAATGTTCGGCTGCAAATAAGATTTACAATTTAACAAAAGAAGGCCTGTTTTCTAACTGAGAATAGCTTGTTCTATCTTTTGTTTACTTGAACTATTATGCATGTGTATTGTTTGAGTGTGTGCATTGGGGTTCTCCAGTTTGTTTGCTGACTTTAGATAGCCATTTTGCTTTTTAAAAAGGTAGTCCTTCCTAATTTTTTGGGATTTCAAGGCTCAAATGGTACCAGCAGCGCATATGGTTCAATTCAATTCCAGGTACTGTCGAATAAGTACTTATATTTGTTTCATAAATTCTCACTTTTGTTATTTTCTACATTTCAGATATTTTGCCTGGATATGTCGTCTGATATGGAACAAACACCATTTAGACTTGGTGACGGGTAAGTATTAATTTACTGGTTCATTCTTTATATGAGGTCTAATCAGGGTTCTCCAAGTGGGCCCACTTTGAAAAAACCCGCCTGGGTTTTATTGGGCGGGCCCACCTTGAAAAAACCCACTTGGAACGATAAGTGGGTTTTTTCAACAAAAAAAAATTTTTTTTTTTTTACTAAAACTTATTGTTTTGCATTTACTTTTATATAATTTATTGTGCAGCATAAATTTGTCAAATTGAGTTGCATGATTTTTATGATTAAGTTTTTAATATTAGTAAAGTAAAAGAAACTCGAATCTTCATATAATTTTATAGTAGGTACCAACTATTGAAAACTTCAAGTGGGTTTTTTTAAAAAGTAATATTTTAATGATATTAAATGAAATAAAAATTTAAATAATATACTCTGAAAAGATCAATTTTTCAAATATTGTTGCATGCTTTATATATTAATAAACAGGTTATTATTATTAATTCATATGTTTAAAAAAATTGAAAAGAAACAATTTTTTTCTTTTTTTACCAAGTGATACATTAACAAATTTAAACAGTTTTATTTTCTGGCTTTAAAAAAAAAAAAAAAATGCTAAAACTTTTTATCAGAGAACTTTTTAAAATTATTTATCTAAAAATGAAATCATTTTCCTAGGGTTAATTACTTGAAAAAAAATGGGACAAGTAACTGATACTCTTTATAATTATACGTAATTTTAATTTCACTTTCTGTTAATCGTATTATAAAAACATGGAAGACCATTAAATATTTATTCCAGTTTAATTTTATTACAGGTAAAAGTCAGATGAAATTTTAGTGTTTACTTATACAACACTATTTAATAAATAAAAATATTTTCACAGTAAAATTTATGAGCACTAAATGAAAAAACCCAATTTTCCCCGGGTTTTTTCAAATAAAACCCAATTTTCCCCGGGTTTTTTCAATAAAACCCAGGCGGGTTGGGTTTTTTCAAAAATCCCCGGGTTTTTTCAAACCCTGGGTCTAATGTTTATATCTTTTGTTTTATTTTAAAATCTCTCATATGTTTTAAAATAACTTTACTTTTTCAGATTCAGCATTGTCAGTCCACTAATTTCTTTCTTTTGTCCCCATATACCTGATAAGTTTTTTTTTTTCTTCCTGCAATAAACTTTATAAATGCCATTGGGGTACCTTCTAATGAAACTAACTGGTTTTAGATAACGCTAGTTTAATTTTACGAATTTTAAGAAAGGAAATCACATTAATTTGTAGGCACACAAGCAAAATAAAAATTAATATTTGATATGCTGATATTGATTTTTACTTTTGCATCAAAATGTTTTAGCATCTAAAATATTATGATGAATTAACATTATTTTTGATTGTAAGCAATTAAATAATCATTTTATAAAGAGCAAATTGTGGTTATGAATTTACTTTATTATAAACTTTAAGTTTTGTTATATTTTTTTATGACAGACATTTACCATGGTGGAGCATGTCATTCTACTCCACTTGTTGTAGAAGCCATAAGCAGAAGATTAATAGTATTACATTTATAATCTCGGTAATTTTAGACCCTAATGTATAGTTTTAATGTTCTTTTCATTAAAATAATGTACAAAATGGTCATTTATAAGTTTATAAGAATAAATACAAATTTTAATATTAAAATAATAATAATAAACTGCACACATTTCCTTTCTAGAGTTTTATTAATAAAGTAAATAAAGTAAAATAATACTAATAAGTATACCTAAGATTGTGTAATTTTTTTAGGTCGCAACACTCTCCTTTGAGCATGGTGAAGAGAACTATAGAATTGTTTATAGAAAATAAGCATTTTATTAGTAGAAAGCATGAATATTCATTAATGGTTTTGTATGAAAATGCAACATGGGTATGTATGTTTGACATCATTTTTATTCATTATCTTTTATATATAAATTTCACTATTATTTAATTTCTTATGTTGAGTGATAGTTCATTTTATTGGCTATACACTTAAACCAGTTTCATTTTTAATTAATTGTGTCAAATTATGAGTTATTAATATTATCTCAGCTTATGATGTGTGTTAAAAGTTGTGATTTTATATTTCTTCCTTTAATACTAAGGAAATATGCTCAAGAAATTCTATAGATCCTGTTAGTGAGGGGGGGGGTTGGCATAAGAAAACAAAATCGATAATCTTATTGGGTGGGGGGAGAATATATTGAGAAACTTTAGCTTCTGATGTGTGTTTAAAGTTGCGATTTTCTATTTCTTATATTAATACGAAGGAAATATGCTACGGGATATGAAAATGATTTTGTATTAATACTAAGGAAATATGCTTAAGAAATTCTATAGATCCTGTTAGGAGGGGAAATTGGCATAAGAAAACTAAATCTTTAATCTTGTTGGGGGGGGGCAATGAGGAAGAAAATTTTATTCACGGACAATTTTTACCCTGCTTAGGTTCCATAAAATTTACTTATTCATTATACACGTTTTTCTGCTTGTTGCTTTTCATGCTGAAAAGCTAGTCAGTAAACAAATGGGTAAAGTGATAGTTTATTAAAAGAACCATCTGCTTAATAATATGTGTGGCTTATTATTATAGGATTTATAACATAAATCTACATATCTCCATCTTATTTTACATTAAACATAAGAAGTATTTTCAAGATTTAAAATAAAGGGATTGTTAATTTATTTTCTGGAACGATTTAATGTCTTTTCTTAATTAACTCCTTGGCTTTAGTTAAATTCTCAACCCCTGTTATATACTTATATTTATTTATTTTCTAATAAGATTTAAAATATAAATGCAATGTGTGTATTTTTCCCCAATTAGGTGAGAGAATTTACAAATGACCCAAAGGAGGTTATCGAGTCTTTAGAAGATTTGAGTGAAACTCAACCATGCTCAAGCTGCGGTATCCTTTTAAATAATCGTATTTTATTTTATCCAATAGTTTTTGTGTCATTTTATAAACATTATGCTTGTAATTTCTTTAACTTGAGATTAGATTTAGCCTCTATTGTTACATTAATGTAAGTAATATTTTTCTCTTTTAATAAAATAGCTATTATGTTTATTAAGAATTACACTGTTACTAAAATTAAATATCTCTTTCATTCTAATTTAAAATATATATATACTATTAGTTATTTTGAATCCCTATTTTGTAGGGAATGGTGTGAGATTTAACAATCAAATAAGATTTTTGCACTATTTGAATTTATTAAAAATTGTCATTAACATTTGCAATTTTTTGTTTCATTTGTTGTGCATAAAATAAAAAGAAGATTGAAACCATGTAAATTTATTTTGAATTTAAGTCTTTGTTAAAAGATAGTATATTATTTAGATTATTGTTCTTCTTTTATTTTGATTACTTTATCATCACAAATTCTACTAAATTTAATATAAATTGAAAGTATAGTTGATAATTACTTTTTGCATTAGCAAAAAATTATACACTTCTTAAAGTTTTTCTTTTTTTAAGAAGTAATATCTATCTACAGGACATTTTACCTTAGCTAACTTAGTTTTACCTATACTGCAAGTTCGTTATTTTGATAATGAAATAAATAGAGCAAAAGTTGATTCAAATCTTATTGTATTAACCTAATAGACTTTTCTTTACTTGCAACAGCCTATAAATTAACTTTGTCCTTTGTAATATCAAATAAAACATATATTTAACATCAAAATTATTCTAATCAAAATAAAAATGCGAAAGATATAATACATAAGAAACTTAAATACTATACTATGCATGTTATACTTAAAGAGCTTATTATTTTCTTACGAAAAAATTTAAGTGTATCTTGATATTTTTTCTATTATATCAAAATTACTAACTGCAGTTTTATATTATTACAGAACAGGGAAATATGAAATGACATTACCAAAAAAAATATCTCTACTGCCTTGTATATTTAGAGTGATTCTTATATATGGACGATCTAGTTGTATGATACATTTTTCTGATGAAGAAGTAAGCATAACTCTTGAATTTTGTGTTAAGATATTAAAAATGTTTACTCATAGCAAACCTAAGCTTAAAAATTGCTTATAGTATACGTGATGTTCCGCAACTATGGTATAGTTTACATTATTATTGTTTATAAGCATGTTAAACAAAATTGGCTGCATTATTAACAGTATTAAAATTAACTTGTTAAACAAACATATACAAATTCTATTGATAAAAATAGTAACTATGAGGAATTTCATAAAAAGAACTTGAAAATCCTTTAAATTTATATTATGGAATTAATTATGTGTGTTAGTGAAGATAAGAATTAAAACCAGCTTAGCATTCTTGTTGGCCTGTGTTTCTCCAAACATTTTTGTTGCAACCTTTGTGCACATTTTTTTCTATTTTTTATAACTTAGTTCATATTTTTGTCTTTTTATTCATTATAGAAACAAAGTATTTAAAATTTATAAGACATTTAAATTGCAGTTTGATACTTCATTCATAAATTCTCAATTATTATTTTTACAACTATTAATAATTCAACTTTTTTATCTTCCACTAATGCCTAGTAGCAGGTGGTAAAAAATATATATACATTTTTTATTCTTATTGTTTTATGTGTTGATATATATTGAAGTGGTACTTAAGTGTTTGAGTATTGGCTCTCGAATGAAACTTTTCATTCTTATAGCTTAAAACTTCTTGTTAAGATATTTTTTGTCAATTTCCATCTCAATACTAAGAACTATTGAACCATACTGTTACATTTTTATTCTTTTTATAATAATATTACTATAGAAAGTAATTTGTAGTAGCTTTGGTTCTCATGCTATAGAAAGTAGTATTTACAATTTGTTGTGAATCGTAATAAGTGTAAGTAGTGGATATTGGTTTAAATATTTTTGATTCTTTTGTAAAAGTGCTTACTTTAATTAAGTATATTAACCATGAATTATTAATTTTAAAAAATTGCCAATATATGCACTAGAAAACATTATTCAATAAAACCATTAAAAAGTGTAAGCAAGCTAACCGTGGTCTTGGTAATGCTTAAAGGTTAGCTTTGTTTCTCGAAATAAATAAATGTATTCTTCTTTTCTAATTACCAATGTAATTGAACAGTTTATTGTTTTTATGGAAGCCTGAGAAGTATAAAATTTTCTTTATTTATATTTGAATAGATTTGTGAATTAATTATAATAAAACTATCAGTATATTTATTTCCTAAATGCATCATGTTATTTTTTTATACAGGCTAAGGAGTTTTTGGTCAATTATCCCTTTATATATCTTGATATTATTTATATCCATGAACCTCCCACTGATGACAATAAATGTCAGGTATGTTATTGAATTCTTATATTAAAAAATTTTTATGCCTGCATTGTGTAATGAAACATTGTAACTTTTATTATTGGTTTTTAAAAAAGATTGTTGTTAAAATAGATTTTTCATCAAAAAATGTCTTCATTGCATAACTTCCCCGGGGCAGAATCACAGCGACATTGTTGCAGAATATTACAGAGTTCTTGCAGAAACAATTTTATTTTAAGAAGTAAAGAATTTTGGTTTTCTGCAGAAATGTTTTATTTTTAAAATTATAATTAAAAGATGCCTTTTTTCACACATCAGAGGGGAAAGTCACAACTACGGATTGCACGATTTTCTTTATTTATTTTATAATGTGATGATTTGCAAAATGCAAAAGAGGAAATATTTAGTGTGTTGTCTTGTCGAGTAAAATGTAAAAATCTTGCCCATGATATTAGAATTTTTAAAAAATATTACATATTCATTTAAAAGTTAAATACAATTTTATTTTATTAGAATTTTTTTTTGTAAGCACAAAATTTTTGTTACTTTAAATTTAGTTAGTAACATGTATATTTGTTATTATCAAAAGTATCTTGCGGAAAGATATTAGTGCTAGAGAGGTTCTGCCACAGGGCATGACTTAATCTTTTTTTCTTTTTTTTTTAACTTTATGTTTGTAATTTTATTATTTCATATTGTTAAGTTTATAGTAGAAGATCTATGTAATACAGTTCTATTAACCATAATACTCCATTACTTTTCTGATCTAAACAATTAAAATTGCATTGAAGAAATTTTTGAGACCAAGCAAGAACTATTAACTATTCACAGGATGCAAAAAGAACTATGTACTAAGAAATTAAGCTAACCAAAATTGATATATTTTTTTATGATGATTCTAACATTCTAGATAATTTCATTGTTTTTATAATCTTTGAAAAAAAGATAGACTTATGTGCATGTTTTGTGTTTTAAAGTAGTTTGCATTTAAAAATTAAATAATTAAATGTTTAAGAGGAAAGCATAATGTTATGTCAAATGATCTATGTAACCAAAAATTTTATATAGTGCCAATCGTCAAGTTTCAAGATTTGTTTTATAAAGATCTTCTAATTAACTAACTTTCATTTGAAACTGTTATAGTTATAAATGGTATCAGAGTATAGCCCCAATTATTCAGACCAAGGCTGATCTAGATAATTGAACAACTTCAAAAAACAGCTATAACTATATTTTTGGGGGTATCTTTTTCCCCTGTATTTCTTTATGCTAAATTGAATAAGACAAAACCTAAATTGATCGAACAAATGGGGTTTTGTTCATACAAAGTACAAATTAAAAATAGTACTTTTTATGCAAAAAAAAAAATTTGAAACTTTAAAAATGTTAGTCATGTTGATTCATTTTTGATCACTTTAGATTAAACATAAATTTATTAGAAACTCTGCTTCTAAACTGATTTTCACTTGCCTTGATATTTAAATCAAATGTATATAAAAGTTCAAACATAAAATTGTATTTTTGTGCTCAAAGCACTTATAACTTCTTATCATTTTGCAGTTGGTTACATTTCATTTTTAAAAAACTACATTTAAAACAAATTTGTCTAAATGTCAATATTTAATTTTGTCCCCTCGTTTACACCCTTTCCTCTATGCTAAAGCCTGTCACAAGATTTTATGGGATTTTTCATGTGTATAAAATGTGTGCAATCATGTGTAAGACCTCTATAAACAAATTTCAATGGATCTTGTCTTATTTTCAATGTCCAACTTCAAGCCCTAACTTGGCTGTACAAAATATTCATTATGTAAATTTTTTTGCTAAGCCTATATATATAAGTAATTTCTAAACTAGAGAAACAACTAATATGGTATAACTAACTGTAATGGAATTGTAAATGTAAATTAGAAGTATCTACTTATTTTACATTATTGAATGACGTAATTATTTGTTTTCAAGACTAAAATATGCAACTTCGGAATTGAATATATTTAATTATGCTTACTCAAGTCATTTCTATTTTATTTTAAAACTGTTGCACTTCTATTTTTTCCTATTCATCAGAAGGCCCCAAAAATCAGACAAAATAAGGAGAATTATACTATCATTCTGTATGGAGACAGAATCAAACAAAATTCAGAGAATTTTATCACACTCAAACTATCATTTCTTTTTTCCAGTATGAACTGCCCCCAAAATAATGATCAACAACAACCTACCTAAAAATGAATTTGAAAAGAAAAAAGAATCCAGAATATAAGCTTAAAGAATTTGAAGCTAAAAACTTAAACTTTTTGAAACTGCTGAAAAGAATAATTTAGAAATTGGAAAAGAGATTGCAAGCCACAAACTTTGGAAAACGCTTTAAAGCACTTTGGCTAAGCAGTATTAAAAAAAAAAAATTTAAAAGAACAGCAAAAGGACGACTAATTGAAACAACTATTAATTCAAATGTTATCCAAAGCAGTGGCAAGAGATCTGGGTTCACCAAAACACAGGTTTTTTAAAGAAAACCTAGAAGAAATAAAAGACAGTTTTTTCAGCTTTTGCCACGTAAGTTTTTCTGGTTTTGTTGGGCAAAAATCCAATTTTGCACGAGGATAAGTGGATTTTCCAAGATAGTATGAAAAGACCTTCTATCCGAAGATAAGTGGATTTTTTCAAATGTGTACTTTTTATATACTGAAACAATATTGCTTGATTATTACCAAAGGGATTATGAAGAAGAAGAAAAAGCCAAGGGTGCCATTTTATGGTGAAGGTTATTATTTCCAGTGTGGATGGAGGTGGAGTTTTAAGGTGTGGTTGGAGTTTGCATTTGGTATAGTGGATTAGTTGAAGATATTGACAAATTGAAGATTGTGAAAACAGAAGGGTGATGAAAATAATACTTGAGCTGGATCAGAAATAATAAAAAGCTTTTATTTATTATATATTTGCAGAGCTCGAGTTACAAAATATCATTCATAAGAATTTCAGTTTAATAAGTTTTGCATAGTAATATTAAAATAGGTCAGGCCATGGGAGACAAATCCCCCACAACCTGCCTAATCAAAAGCCAAATTAAAAGTACGTGTAATTTGTTCCCGACGGACACAGAAGCATGGGTAGGAGATCCAAAATTGGCAATTTATTAAAATATAGCATAGCCAAAACAAGGCCAACCAGCATATCAATATTGGGTTTAAAATAATACCTTGGCGATCACGAGTCGCCAACAAATTTATGTGAATTATTACAACCATGCAACCGAAACATTTAGCCGTTGGAAAATTAGAATAAAAAGTTATAAATAGATTTTTGTTTTCGATTAAAGGCGACAGTGAATTAATATGTCTGCATAATAATGAAATAAAAAAGTATCCGTTACATTGATCTGGAAGAGAAGAAATAAATATTTTATGTTTGTTTTAAAAAGATTAAGTTTGTGATTTATTTTAAATGTAATTCTATTAATAAAAAATCAGCTTAAGTAATGAAAGATATTTTAAAAGATAGAAAATAAATATGTGTATGCCAATTCTGGCATCACAGGGATTAATAAATGAAATGGTTATGAGATTAACTATTTCAGTCTTTATTCTGCCTTCTAAATGTAAAATGAATTGCATAATGATGAAGTTGCTGAAATGGTTCTTTGTAATGATATTAAGTGTTACGTTATTAGTTTTAAGTTACAAATAAGGGCGTAATTTGCTTTAAATTTAAAATGGAATTTCTAGAGACATTGCATACATTCATAAAATGAGATGCACAAATCTTTCTGTGGCACATGGTATGTTCATATGTATTTTTCGATTTCTGAATTCTTTATATGGCTTACAATGTACAAAAATAATTTTTTCTTTTATATTTTTTGCTTTAGAAATGTATGAAAATAGAGAAGTTTTAAATATTTGTTTTCTAAGCATTTCAAGTATAAAATTTAAGATTTTAATTAACGTATGAAATGTTCATTAAATTGAATTAATAATTATGTACGAATGAACATATCATAAACAACCAATACCTACAGTATGCATTCACATTCCATTAATAAATAATTTCATTATATGATCACTATATAATCTAATCTTTTTTTTTGTAATTAGCAAATTTTTTTTCCAAATGAAGTATTAGCAAACAAAAATAAGATTCACAAATATTGAATAAAATACTTTTTTAATTCTCACCAAAATATGACATATAAGCTTAATCTCAAATTTCATGAAGCTAAAAATTTAAAATATCGGAAAGTCTCACTGTTTAAAAATGAAATTTACATCTGAAATTATAAAATTTACATCTGAATCATGAAATTTACATCTGAAATTGAGTGGGAATTCTGTAAACTATATGCATTTGTTAACAAGACTAAAATATGCAACTTCGGAATTGAATATATTTAATTATGCTTACTCANAAAAACCTCTATATTAGTTCTAGTAATTGCTTAATGACATTTTGTTTAAGTAAACTGAAAAATGAATTAAGTAAAGAGAATCTTATGGCTGTTTATAAAAAAGAAGTGACATACAGATTTAAACAGGCAGTTACTGATTATCATTTGCTAGCTTATATGCTGCATCCAAAGTATTTGGGATTGAAATTATCATGTTCTCAAGAAGAAAGTGCTGGAAATTTACTCGCCAATATTAACCCAGATTTTGTACCTAATGTCATAGCTTTGCAAAACAAATCGGCCCCATTTCCTGAAATTTATTTTTCCAGTGAAGTTTTGACAACTACCCCAGCTACTACATGGTGGTCCAGTTTTAAAAAATATGCAATGGATGAGAGTTTCACAAATCTTGCTTGTTCCTTGATGGCAATGCCTGCTAGTTCTGCTGGACTTGAGAAAATCTTCTCAAATTTCTCGTTCATGCATAGCAAACTGAGAAATTGTTTCGGTTTAGAAACTGCATCAAAATGTGTCTTTTGTTACAGATTTCTGCAGAGTGCAAACAATGTAATATTTGAATTTGAATGGTGATAATTTTGTAAATAAATTGTACTTTGTTTAACATTTAATTGTTTTTTCCATGAATTATCCATTGTATGTCAATCTCAATACTTACTTTTATGTCATTTTCTGAATTTCTGCCACAAATGTGGCAGAAAAGGGTTTCTGCCATGCCAGTTTTAACTGGTTTCTACCAGTGGTTTTAACCACCTCGGCAGAAACTTGCCAACCTTGATTTGTTCTGGTGTTAAAAAATTTATAATACCTTCAAAGTTTCTTAACTAATATTATAACTGCCCTTACATTAATTTGAAAGGGGGGAAAAGAAGACAGACTTTCTTTAAATGTTTTTCTGTTATATATAAATTCGTCTTTATTTTATTTATTATAATTTTTTTTTAGGAAATCTTTGAAGCCTTGTGTGACTTAGATGCACAAAATAAATCTTATATTTTTGAAGTAACTCGCAATACAACTAAACTACATAACTGTATGGCAAAGTTATTAGCTCATCCTATGCAACGCTGTACCCAAAAAGATGCCTCCTATAGAATACGTTGTCCTGCTTCTGAAGTAGCAGAATAAATCATTTGTATAAAAATTCATTTTAAATATATTTTTCAATTTTTATGTGATAAATAAAACATTTCTTTATCTTATGTGTTTCTGTATTGTCCATCCTGTTTACCATTAAATATGGTTTTTGAAATGTTCCCAAAGCATTACAAATAATGAAATTATCTCAATGAATAATATAACTTTACATTTATTTAATTTTGATATGTATTTTAAACTTCATATTTATTGTTTTATGAGCATATATTTCAAACATTTTTTCTTTACTACATTTAAAACAAATTTGTCTAAATGTCAATATTTAATTTTGTCCCCTCGTTTACACCCTTTCCTCTATGCTAAAGCCTGTCACAAGATTTTATGGGATTTTTCATGTGTATAAAATGTGTGCAATCATGTGTAAGACCTCTATAAACAAATTTCAATGGATCTTGTTTTATTTTCAGTGTCCAACTTCAAGCCCTAACTTGGCTGTACAAAATATTCATTATGTGAATTTTTTTGCTAAGCCTATATATATAAGTAATTTCTAAA